CGCATCTCACGCTCTTCCACCTCCCGGACGTAACATGCCCTACACTCACGCGTCTAGTGACGAAGTGCTCTCGAACATGCCACAGTGCGCTGTGTCACAGAAATTGCACGCGCCATTTCCATCTACACTGCCTGACAAAACAAGTGATGCACCCAGAAGGAGTGGTTTAATATTATTCCATGTCGGTATGCATGCATACCATTAATGTGTGAGTAAATGATTAGGTTCACCTGCGCCAGTGATGTGTAGAAAGTCCACCACATTGCATTCGTTACGTCCTCACGCTGTCACACAGTTGTTATCAGTCACCTGCTGTGAGTTAAACAGTGAAGAACTACCTTTACCTACAGAACAAAGCTTCCGCATTGCCACGCAGACGCGTTCGACAGCGTATCCGCCATTTGGCTGCATTTGACAGGGGTCGCATTGAAGGACTTCATCAAGGTGGTTGGCCGTGCAATTGCCATTTATATGTCACAGTGGCCTATGTTGGAATCAATGGGTACGTGAGGGCACCCATGCACGTCGTGCAGGCGCGGATCGACCAAGAAACGCAACCACCGGGGGAGAATCGTCGTATGAATTGAATTGAATTGAATTGATGCCTTATTTGACGGGGTGAGACTGAGGCCATGAGGCCTACTCTTCCGTCTGGCCACGCAAATTTCGCTACGCTCCTTTCACCAACTAGCGGAGAAAGGAGGTATTTCTTGAGGGACGATCCAGGCGATTTGAATTTAGCTCAGAGTCTTCATTAAGCCTTGAGGATCATTAACTTGCAAGTAAATCTACGAACACCCAACGCCCCATGTGTTGGTGGCCATTGACACCAGAACAGTGACGTCGGCGTTTGGATTGGTGCCTTGCCCGGGCGGCATGGGCAGTGGACGAATGGTGTCGCATCATTAGTGGTGAGTCCCACTTCGCCATCGTGTTCGAGTGTTGCGGCGTGAGGGGCAGAGGGCACATCCTGCCCTTGTTGTGGAGAGACACACAGGCGTAACGTGCTCCGTACCCTAACATGCTCCGAGCATTGTGGTGTGGAGAGCAATCGGATATGCTTTCAAATATCCTCTAATAGTGCTTCGGCAGACTTCGATGGCACAGCGACACGTCACACACATACTGGGTCGTACCCTTTATAGAAAAGCACCCTGGGACAATATTCCAACAATATAAAGCACGCCCACCCACAGCATGCGTGTCTATGGACTGCCTAGAGCATGATGAGGTCCTCTCGTGGCCAGCACGATGCCGGACTTCTCCATCATTGGACACGTGTAGGATCCTTAGCAGTATCAACATGCAGGATATGGAGGAACAGCTGCAACAACTGGGGACGAACTTGCTTCAAGATTGGATTCAAATGCTGTTTGACACCGTTTCGAACCGGGTAAGGGCATGCATTGCAGCCAGAGAAGATGCGATACTCTATTGAACTATCCGCCTTTAACAGCCCACCAATACTTCATAAATTTCTCTGAGCGTACGTAGTTTCAATTCTCTTCCAATCACTCCATCTGGTTGCATCACATTTTTTGTCAGTGCATTTTATAAGCTATTGGTGGGAACAACGACCTTGACTCATCCCATATTGAAATCAGTTCAATAAAATTGCATAGTCACTCAGCGTATGCAGTTTCATTCACTTCGAATTACTCCTTCTGGGTGCATCACATTTTTTGTCAGGCAGTGTATTTTATGAGCTTTTGGTGGGAGCAGTGATTTTTAAGGAGGCTTATAGGCTTAATCTTCTACGGAGTTGTTTGAGGTGGCGCGAGCGCTACCTGCGGTATGGTGTAGCCGCCGCCGCCGGGCACCGCCTGGCCGGGCTGCAGCAGGTCGCCCGCGCTCAGGCCCGAGTCGGCGTCCTGCGTCACGTGCACGTTGCGGCCGGCCGCGTTGCCCACGTGCACGTGCTGCGCCTGCGCCGGCTGGCCCGGCCCGCCCGCGCTCACCACTCGCGGCGCCGACCCGTTGCCCACGCTCAGGCTGCCGAACGGCGACGAGTAGAAGCCGCTTCCGCGCGCCGGCTGCACCTGCGGACCGACACGCATTCACTCGCCCGCGTTGACTACGCAGGCACGGGAAGCAAAAGAGTTGTCAGACCCGAAGGCTTCTTTCTTTATGTATGTCGACGCGCAGAATCCGATGCCAGAATTGCTCCATGACGTTGTGTTTCTTTTTAAATCGCAAAAATCAACAAAATTCGCAAAAACACTCAACTTAAAATTTACAATTTCACTGTGTTTTTTTTTCGCGAATTAAAAGAAACTGGAGGGTCGTGGCGCAATTCTGGTTTCAGATTTGGATTCAGCGTTTTGACATACATAGGGGAAAACGTGTCAAGTCTTTGGGTCTAACTACTTGTGTGTGTGTGTGTGTGTGTGTTCTATGGATGTGTTGTCGGGTGCATCAACCCATTTGACTGTTAGTCTCTATGTATGTCGACGTGCGGTATCTGAAGCCAAAATTGCACCATCACCTTCCGTTATTTTAAATCGCAAAAAACAACAAAAAACAAAACAAAGAACTTAAAATGTACAATTTGTTTGGGTGCTTTTTCGCGAGGTTTTCGCGAATTAAAAAAACTGGAGGGTCGTGGCGAAATTCTGGCTTCAGGTTTGGATTCAGCACGTTGACATACATAGGGGAAAATGTGCCAAGTCTTTGGGTCTAACTACTTGTGTGTGTGTGTGTGTGTGTGTTATGGATGTGTTGTCGAGCGCATCAACCCGTTTGACTGTTAGTCTGTATGTATGTCGACGCACGGTATCCAAAGCGAAAATTACATCATCACCTTTTGCTTTTTTTTAATAGCAAAAAACAAAACAAAAAACTTAAATTGTACAATTTCATGGTGTTTTTTCGCGAATTAAAAAAACTGGAGGGTCATGGCGCAATTCTCGCTTAAGATTTGGATTCAGCACGTTGATATACATAGGGGAAAATGTGTCAAGTCTTTAAGTCTATTTACTTGTGTGTGTGTGTGTGTGTGTGTGTGTGCTATGGATGTGTTGTCGGGCGCATCAACCCGTTTGACTGTCAGTCAGCATGTTCAGTAAGGTTTATCTCGGAAGGTGGCGGCGATCGACCCCAGAGGGATGGTGAGATCCGGCGACGACCTACCCGTCGGCTAGCGGGGTTTTCCTCAACAAGGTATCTCCCATCAGCGGGGCACCGCCCCAACCAGGACAAGCTCTAAGCTCCCGACGGTGTCTCGGCATGTATGTTAGTGTAGTGAATGGAAATGTATGTGTGGGTAAGTAAGGGGTGAGGATAGAACAAGGAAGAGGAAGGAAAGATCGTGCGCGGTCCGTGGCCCGTTTGTTAGGGTACTACTCCGGCATNNNNGGCGCCGCGCGCCGGAGGGCGATGCGCCTGCGGGAAGGAGCGCGCGCTCGCCTCGTCCTCGTAGTCGCCCGAGCTGCCGTAGTCGTCCTCCTCCGCGGGCAGGTTGGTGGGCCGCGCCTGGTCGAAGCTGCTTCCTGCGCGGGAACACACACGCCAAAAGTGTAAATGAAGGAAATCTTGGACAGACACACCTCTCTATGGACAACATTTAAGAGGAATGGACAAGGTGTAGGTCAATAAAGATCACTCATTCATGTGGCTTAAAAGGGGAAGAATGAAACCGGAATCGGAAGCAGTTCAAATAGCTGCCCTGGATCAGTCGTCGAGACGACATTACGATAAAGTGGTTCTCAAAATTTCCCAAGATGATAAATGCCGCTTCTGCCAGGAACAGTAATATTGTCTTAGCTGGTCCAATTCTAGCTAAGAAAGAATACATGAGAAGACACGATAGGGTGTGGGGTTATCTCCATTGGAAGATCTGTTTTGCCCTCGAAGTTACAAACAGATTTTCCAAGTGGTCACCAAATCCGATGACGTCTGTTGGACTGTTTACAATATTGTACGACCAACAAATACGAACTGATCGCAGGAGAGCGGCAAACAATTCGAATATTGTTACCCGGTATTTTGAGAAAAACGTGTCCACTTGAAAATGTGTGTGTGCCGTGCGATCAAAACATAACCAAGGAGGCAGAGAAACGTCTTAAATATAAGTATGGAAATCGAGATTAGCAGTAAAAGCACAGGTGGCACCGATATTATCGGAGCTTGGGGATTCATTCCATAAAATTTGTATAAGAACTTGGCCAATGTCCCAAATCATTCAAAAGACTGGGAAGTGCAAGATATTGCCCAATGTGGAACAGCCCACACTTTGCACAAAGTATTGTTGTGGCATCAACAGTTCCTAGGTCTGCTCCATAGGAAGCTGGTTGCAACCCAAAGTACTATATTTTATGATCAACCGATTCATAATATCCTGAAGTAGTGGAATGATAATAATAATAATAATAATAATAATAATAATAATAATAATAATAATATCTTAAACAAAAGAGTTTGTCAGTCGAGACCAGCTGGATGTGAGGTGTAAAAGTACAAAGAAAGATCTCCACTCTTCCAGGTACTCCAGAAGCCTAGGAAGTAAAAGGAAATTTTTTTCCGAACAACTCATAGTTTCCGCAAAGTATTGTACAGCACCAATGGCTAGTAGAACCGCTCATTAGAAAGCTGATTGCAACCTGGAGCAATTTTTGTGTATGATCTGTTCATGTGAATCTGTTGCTGCTGGGTTGCCCGCAGCAACTCTACGTGTTTTGAGGAGCAACCTCTGGGTGGGCACATTGTTCGTTTTGATCTGTCCGCCCCCCTTCTGGCGCTGTAGTACCACCATCAGGCCACAGCGGGATCACGCTAGCACGCAGCATAAAGCCTTCCCACTTGATGCCTGGATGTAGCCACGCTACTCCAGCTGTCATCTATTAGCCAATTTGGCTTTTCTCATTGTTCTAAGTGCCTCCCTCGGACAGGAGCGAACCTCTATCTTTATACCCATTTGGTATCGGGCCACTGCCACGACGAAGCCAAGAGCCCAGCACGGAAAGTCCAAGCGGCTTGGCCCTCTTCCCGTCTGCTCACTGCAGTCACTTCGTGCGTGTCGCCGGGAACGGGTCGCCAGTCGGGAGTTGCATGCGGCGAACGGGTCGCTTACCGGGGCTTCCGAAGGTGGGCGTGCCCACCTGCGCGGCGGCGGCGCTGGGCCGGCCGTCGCTGCCGGCGGTGCGGCTGCTGCTGGCGCCCAGGGGCGACCCGAAGGGCCTCCACGCCTGCAGGTTGGCCGCGCCGTCCCCGCCGGCCGCTCCGCCGCCGCCCCCGCCTCCACCGCCGTTCGGCCCCGAGCCCGCCTGCGCCGCGCCCGTGTACGAGATGCCGTACCGGAAGTTGCCTTGGACCTGCGGGGGCAACACGCCTCAATTCCACCAACTGAAAAAATTGGCTTTGATCAACATTTTCCCAGAAAAGACTCCATTTTTTTTATTTTTTGCTTCCTGCTGAGAAAAGTTGGATTATAAAAATTGTTCAGGTACGATTTTCGTTGAATTTTAAGTGCAATATTGAAGATAGAGATATTTTCGTAGTAAAATTTTGTTCTTCGACTATAGAGATAAAATATAAACATTTTCATCAAAATATGAGCAGCATTTTTCTCAAAATATTGCGTGGAATAAGTACAATTTTTTTAATCCAAAGATATTTTTTCTTTATTTTTCGAATAGTGCGAAGTTCACTTGCAAAATGGTTCTATTTTCGTGAACTTCTTTTTGGTAATTGTTGAAGTTACAAATTGTGTCGGAAAGTTTGTGCTACTGTGACATCACTAGTTGTATGCTTGTTATGTGATCTAGGGGCATCATTCCCTTTGCATTCATCACGACTCATCACTAGGCTAATTTTAGGACTGCCCAGTGAAATCGCACATTAGTCATTCGATTTTGATAAAAGCTAAAGTTGGTATCAAACACAAAGCGCGGGCTGAAGTGATTATTCGAGTGTGCAAATAGTTAAAAGATAAAAAATCGCGCAAGACCTATTTTTGGTGAACACTATCTTTTTGCCCTGTATTTAGGCAAACATTTGCATTGCAGAAGCATAGAAATACTCCCAAAGCATGTAATTTGTTTATTCATTACAAAAGAAATGAATACATTTTTTAGTTCTGGGTCAATTTTTTTGTGAACAAATATATTAATTACTTTCGTAAAGAATATGCAGTTGAAATTTATTTATTTATTTATTTATTTATTTGTTTGTTTGTTTGTTTGTTTGTTTGTTTGTTTGTTTGCTTGTCTGTCTGTTTATTTATTTATTTATTTTTGCTTTCGCAAGCAAAATGTTTGCATAGAATGTATTTTTTCAAATCATCTTTTCCAGTGCTAATTGGGGCTCAACCATTCGGAATATCGTAGTATTTTATTAGACAAAATATGCTCAAAAGGGCCTTAAGAGCTTATTTTCGAAATTTCGACGTTTCCTCCCCGGACATCCTGTATAGGTTTCAATGACTAGTTTCGTGATGATTTTAGCATTTAAAATTCCCGCTAATATTGTGACGCAAGTTTGTGCTAAAGCTGAAGCTCATTGGCTGAATAGGGCAGCGGGGCGCGGGCTGACCTGCGTCTGCGACTGGCCCGTGTAGGCGCTGCTCTGCGCCGAGGCGGAGCCCGCGCCGCGGAAGGGCGCCTTCTGGCCGTTGCCGTTGCCGTTGCCGTTGCCGTTGCCGTTCTTCTGGTAGGGCTTGAAGCCGATCTGCGCCTGGCTGGACGTGCTGCCGGGCCCCTTCGCCTGCGCGTCCGCCATGCCGCCCTGGTCGCCCGCTTGCACCTGCCGGCACCAAGCGGATTTGAACTCAGGACAACTTACAGGAGAACTGAGATTCAGAGCAAAAAAACGCTTTTTGCACAATTTATTTAATAATTTAGAATTGACAGCGAACCTTCCCTTGAGAAATCATCTGCAGTAGTTTATCTATCTAAACGAGAGTCACGCAGATGTTCTGACCCCGGGTGCGAAGGGTTGGCAGTCCCTCTGTCGGAGAAAACATCAAATCACGCCAGGGGTGCATATAAAACTTTGTGAATACGTTGCTGAATCAAACAACAAATAAAAACAAATTTGTCTTGTAGGAAAAGAAAAAACAGAATTGTCAGTGAAATCGCGTCAGATAAACAAATCAGAACACATATCTACTTACTTTTCGTGTACTTTCAAGAGAGAGATAGCTAGGTTCAGTTTAGAGATACGTACTGTCATGTAGACTAGGTTCGCGCAAGCACGATAGGCGAAAGAAAGGTTTCGTTAGGTTGGGGAGTTCCTGTTCAAGAGGTTGGGGTTGCACGAGTTGGCGTTAGAAAAGTTCGCGTTCAAAAGGTTGATGTTGGAAACGTTGGTATTAAAGAGGATCGCGTTGCAACATTTGGGGTTGGAGAGATTGACGAAACGGATATTTGCTTTGCAGAGGTTGAGGTTGCATGAGTTGGCTATATTTTTTAAAAATTCTTTCTTTATACTCTTAACTCCTTGGCTGGCAAAATATATGCCGGACCATAAGGTGAACTACCACCTGACGTATATTTCGTCTTACAATTCAATTTTTCTTGCATTTAACATATATATTACATGCAAACTAAAATAAAATAATAATTCTGTTGCTTTTATTATTAACCTCCATCACCAAACATGGTGTTAGAATCGTGCAGCAGATGTTTAGGTTGGAGTAGTTGGCGTTAGAGCCATTCGCGTTTGGAAGAGATGCCGGGAAAGGATTTCTTTTTCGAAGGTAAGAGTTGGAGGAGTTGGTGTTAGAGCTCTACCACTTAATGGTCAGAAAGTTCTAAATGAAATGGTGTGAAAGTGTGCGCGGTGACGAAGCGTTTCTCAACAAAAGGACGGAAGTAACGTTTGCTGCCGAAAGACCGCTCCTCGCATGCACGGAACGGGGTGAGAGGCGTCACCTGCATGTTGGTGCCGTGCTGCCAGCCGCCGTGTGTGCGGTAACGAAGCGTTTCTCAACAAATTGACTAAATACCCGTCCTCGCATGCACGGAAGGGGGTGGGAGGCGTCACCTGCGTGTTGGTGCCGTGCTGCCAGCCGCCGCTCTGCGCCTCGGCGGTGGTGGCGCCGCTGTCGGCGCCCAGCTGCACCTGCGCCTGCGACTGGCCCGAGCCGGCCTGGGCCTGCGCCGTGCTGGTGGCGCCCTCCTTGCCGGCCTGCACCTGCGACTGCGCGCCGCGCAGGCGGTCCTGCGTCTGCGCTTGCGCCGAGAAGGAGCCCGTGCCGGTGTAGGTGCCGGTGACCTGCGCCTGCGCCGTGCCGTCGCCCGCCTTGCCCTGCGACGACGCCTGCGCGCGCGTCTCGCCCTCGTCCTGCGTCACGCTGCTCTGCGACTGCGAGTCGCCCTCCTGCGCGCCCGGCGCGCCGCCCGGCGCCCAGCCGCCGTACCCGGGCCCCGCGATGTAGC